ACACGAATGGGAAAGTGTCCAAACTTTTGACTGGTACTGTACTATAATATACACAAAGAATATCAGTCGATATATCGGTATCGGCCTTTTTTTACTCCCTAATATCGGTATCGGTATCGGCCCCAAAAAAACCATATCGGTCGGGCTCTAGTCTTAAGACTCAATGCTACTACTGCTAATAAATATTAATAAATCTTTATTTTTAAAGGAATAATCACATCTGTTTTATTTTTAATTTTAACAGTAAACCTCTGTTGTGCAGCACTTTGTTTGCCAAAAAAATAAAAGGGTTTAATTTTCATTTGATTATAAATTAAATTAATGTTTTATGCCTTCATCTGATTACCAGAAAAATTAAGAACATTTTATAGGGCCCTACTATTGTTTAAAAAGGACCCTATACAAAAAAAAAAGAATAGGTTTAAAATACAGGCATGTGGTTCTTAATTTCTTTTTATTAATTCACTATTTGTAAACTGATGTTTACTGTTAATTTTTTAGAAATATCAATAGCATTTGTATTAAAACTATATTCACTGAATGTAATAAAAAAAACGAGAATCGAAATCGAATCGAATCGGGATATCTGAATCGATACCCAGCCCTATTTTTAAGTCACATAGCATTATTGGAGTAGGCTATTTTTTACATGAAAATACCATTTCAATCTTTCTGTTTCAAATTTTCACATTTAATTCAATGTGGCACTTGCCATTTCTTTGTAATTAATTGTGAAATTTGCTAGCCATTTCTGAGTGAAAATGGTTTCTAAAGCAAATTTATTTCAGTGTAATATTGCTCACCCAGTTTTGCAACAGCATGGATAACATTAGTAATCCTCAGAAAGCAGCTAATGCTTTCCCACCTTGACTTTGCAACAGAGTAAACAGAGATTGTGTATCGTATTTAATGAGAGCAGTGAAAAGCTTATCTGTACACACGACTGAAGCGTGCAAGGATTACTCTGCTTCAGATACAAGGCATTAATGAGCAAATCTCAAAAATGCAGGGTACAGAATTATTTTTGCCACATCTGGCAATGGCAATGAATTGAATAATGTAAGTATGTATAGTACAATTAGCATTTTATT